ATATATCTGCAAAAGATAAGAGGAAGGAAAGGAAAGGAGAGTAGCAGTGATGGTCGACGCTGCGGAGGGTGGAAGAATGATACGCAACGCCCGCCGAAGCTTCGTCAACTTCAAGACAAAGATAACCGCACTTCGTCGTCCTGACGGAACCAAAACTGCTTCCCGAAAATCAATGGAGAAGGTTATCCACGACTTTTACCTGGATCTCTTCGAGCAACGTCCACCTTTCGCCACACCGTCTTAAGGAGGGCGAGTGTCGCACAGTCTGTTCTTCCTTCCAAGATTCTTCATGCTATCATGTCGATGAAGAACTGTACAGCACCCGGTCCCGACAGGATTAAGCCAGAACGTTTGAAGATTTTTCGCCATTTCTCATCAAGACCTTGGCAAGCTCATCACCCGATACCTGACGGAATGCAAGGTTCCAAGACAATGGAATACCAGAAAGACTGTGTTGCTGTACAAGAAGGATGATCTTTGCGACATCGGCAATTATCGCCCTATCTGCTTGTTGTCTGTGTCTACAAACTCTTTACGCGAGTTATTATTAACAGAATCGAAAGAGAGTTAGACGAAGGACAATCATGCGAGCAAACTAGGTTTTGAAGAGAATTCAGTACGATAGACCACATACACACGGTTTCAAGACTCATAGAACTGTCACGAGAGTATAGTATGCCGTCTCTCATCTTCATCGACTTGAAGAAGGCCTTTGACTCTTCGGTTCCATCGATATACTATGCCGAAACCGAAGAGTCAAAGGCCTTCTGAGTAGGAATATCCTGACTGCTTAAGGCATCGATGACGGCTTTGGTTTCAAAGGTTAAAAATAAAGCCGTCATCGATGCCTGAGCAATCAGGATTCCTATTCAGTACCTCAAGATAATTTGTGAGCTGTATAACGACTTCACAACAGCATCATCAGCATCACTCCATTCTACAAAAACATCATCATTGAAGTGACGAGAGGCTTGCGACAAGGCTATAGTATATCGACGAAACTATTCAGTGCCGCTATGGAGAACGTCATGCGTTAGTTGGAATGGGACAATGTGGGAGTGAAAGTCGACGGCCGACAACTACACCACCTTACCTTTGCTGATGACATCGTATTGATAACACCAAGCATCATGTAGACGAAACAAATGTTAGCCCAGTTTGACAAAGTGTGTGGAAAGATTGGTTTATGACTGAATCTAATGAAGACGGTGTTCTTGAGGAACGGAAGAATGCCTGATGCTCCTTTCATTCTCAACGGAAGGAACATCACCGAATGCTCAAGCTACACTTACCTAGGTCGTGAACCCAATATGATGAACGATTTAGCTCCGGAACTGAGCAGGAGGAAGCGTGCAGCATGAGGATCATATAAGAAAATTGAGGAAATAGTGAAGAAAACCAAGAAAAACCGGCTCTGCGTCCACCTTCTCTCAACTCGACGTTATTCCTGCTTTGACGTACTCTTCGGAAACATGGACAATAAGGAAGCAGGTTGAACACGCGTTAGCGTTATCGAAAGTGTTGTTGAGAGAGAGAGTAATGATAGGAGGGAACCGACTCACGCAAGTGAGGCAAGAAAGTTTTACCCTACTTCAACGATCGAAGATCAGGGAGCTGCCGCGCACGCCAAGCAGAGCAAGATAGGATGGGTCGGGCACGTTATGCGTTTCGACGACAACCGGTGGACGAGAACTGTAATAGATTGGTACCACTGGATGTCAAACGCGAAAGAGGAAAGGCTGCCTTCATACTTATCCGAAAGTTCGGAAGTAGTTCCAGCCAGCTCTCGAAATGAGCGCTGTGCTGGAAATGTTCTTGAACTTCCGGATCAGTATGAACGCAGCCAAAACCGTCGACGCGATGGTCAGATATATTCACGAAGTCCTTCAAAGCGTTTCACGTGTTCCTGGTGCGAAAGTAAACACTGGTCAATCGCCCGAGATAGCGACGATCGGAGGCATCACTGGTTCCCGTTCGTGCAACACGATGATTAACGAAGATATAAGTGATACAGGTAAGTATGGAAACAATCGGTTTTAAATCTGAAAGATGAGTCGTTTTCCAGCCAGGCCATCCTGCCTTACTGAAGAATCTTGGAGATGGCATAGAAACAACAGAACACTCCGCCTAAGGATAGGAACGAAACGGAGTTTTCAGACATCTTTCTTTATTTATAATTATTAGGTTAATGCATAATTCCTGCACCAAAATAGGTACAAAGCGCAATAATCCGAAATTCTCCTATCTTTATATAGGACTTGATATATCTTTAGATAGAGCAAACCTAGCTCTACAAAATAGTGCTCAAAAATCTACACCAGCTTTGATCCACGAAGTTTTGCGCCAAAAACTGGAAAAAAAAACCATGCGTTCAAAACCTTAAGACAGATCTAAACAAAATTGTAATTAAAAAAGCCCTTGCAAAAATTCTTTCTTGCTCACGAGTAGACATTCCATGTAAGACATCTATCTATGCAGTTGCTGTAATTTTTTCTCAGCTATACGATGAGAAAACGAAGTTTTTCATGTTTTTTGCCAAATTAGTGCTGAGATGCTCTAACATTGACATTTGTGTAGTACATACCATTAGCAGTAAAATTTTACATTTTCAGCCTTCCAGAAGAACTAGTTCACGAGAAATATCGATTCTAGCTTTTTTTATCCGAGTTTTTCTTGCCTTGCTGCCAAAAATTCGATATTTCTCGTAAACCAGCTGCTCTAAAAAGCTGAAAATTCACGCCCACGCTTCTAGTATGCTTTGAAAAAAACATGATAACTACGGTTTCTCATTTCCTAGCTGAGAGAAAAATACAGCAACTGCTTAGAAATACAGTGACCGCCAAAAAGTTGCGGACAAACCTCCCTCCCAATTTCATCGCTCTATTTCAAAAGGAAAACAAGGATAAAAAAATGTAGTAATTGTATGCGGTGATAGAGCTCTTCAAGACCTACAATCCACTTTGCGTTTTTCGAAAAACATGTATTCTAAAATTTTAAAAAACTTTTTCTTAAAAAAGTCCGAAAATGTCACAATGTCGCGGACAATAATTCTTCGAACGCAAAAATTTTCTTTTGAGTCCTATTCTGAAGTGGAGACACAAGTAATCCAAACGAGTAAGCATACCACTATACAGAGCTCGTCAAGAACTACACACTGGTTATGGTTGCTTCCCAGAAAATACAAGCTTGAATTTTATTTTGCTTTTTTTTAAAAACAACTTCTAATTCCCTGCTTCAAGCCAATTTCTTCACATGGAAAACCATGCAAGACATTCAAACAAAGCTATTCGGATAAAATGGATGCCCTTTGCCATCTTCTATGCATCGGACGTGTGCTGGTGAGTTTCTTTGCTGAAAATGGCTTCTGACAGTGCGTGTACATGACCCCACCTGCACCTCACTACTGACTTGCACCGCTTTGCAGGCTTGTAACTCGGCTTGTGGTCAATATGTGAGCCTGCAATTAGGCTCATTCGAAAGAACGAAACTTCCTCTACATGATGGTTTGCAAAAGAGATGGGTATAAGAAACAGCGGAGATTTGGCGGATGGGGTGGAAAAACGCGGCCTCAATGGTGGTTGGAGTGAAGGCTCTTATCAACACCAAAACAGTTCTAGAGCTTCAAAATGGATCTATCACAAGAACATTGATAGTTTTAAGCTTCCAGGATTGAACTGGTAGCGAAAGAAGCTCTATTCAACTTTAGCTGGATATCCTCACCCTACCACTGAGGCCGCATTTTTCCACCCCATCCGCCAAATCTCCGCTGTTTCTTATACCCATCTATTTTGCATACCATCGTGTAGAGGAAGTCTCGTTCTTTCGAATGAGTTGTTTTTTGAAAAGAAGCAAAATAAAATTCAAGTTTGTGTTTTCTGGGAAGCATCCATAACCAGTGTGTAGTTCTTGACGAGCTCTGTATAGTGGTATGCTTACTCGTTTGGATTACTTGTGTCTCCACTTCAAAATAGGACTCAAAAGAAAATTTTTGCGTTCGAAGAATTATTGTCCGCGACATTGTGACGCGGCCATTTTCGGTTTTTAAAATTTTTAGAGTGCATGTTTTCCAGAAAGCACAAAGCGTGGGTTGTAGCTCTTGAAGAGCTCTATCACCTCAAGCAATTACTACATTTTTTTATCCTTGTTTTCCTTCTGAAATAGAGCGATGAAAAAGAGAGGGAGGCTTGTCCGCAACTTTTTGGCGGTCACTGTATGTCTTAGACGAAATGACAATGCATAAGCAAGTTCGAAATTTTCAAGGTTTTCTGAATAGACTTTCAATTTTTTTTTGGGTTTTTGAGGCACTTGGATCTTTTCGGTTTCCTTCAATCTTCGCGTGGATCAAAGCTGCTGTGAAATTTTAAGCACCATCTTGAAGAGCTAGGTTTGCTCTATCTAATGATATATCGAACCCTATTTGGGATATTGGATTATTCCTGATTATTGTGGTTTGTACCTATTTTGGTGCAGGAATTATGCATCAACCTTATATGATAGAAATTTTGATGACAGGTTCTTTCTTTACTCATCTAACTGGAAAGATTTTGACCAACTAATTCTAACGTACGAATTTGGGCCCTACTTGTCCAAACACACTATTTCAGCAAAAAGATTCTCAGTGAGCTTGCTCTAAATCTATATGTAAGACTTTTTCGATTCAACATCTGTTTAAGGAGGATGCTAAGATGGTGAAGGCTTGAAGATGATACCTCTTCAAGATGATACTTCTCTGATGGCGTGCATCTACGTCAAGCATCTACTTGAAAGGTTGTTTGCATGAGATAGCATTCAATGAGCATTCTCTAATGTAGGTGACTTTCATAAAAAGGCGTGGCATAAGTGTCTTTCGATAAGTGATGTGACAGAATGTCACTAAATATTCAAATAGCTATAGATATTGATCTGCAGAAGATTTCTAATGTTTGTATAAAGTTTTTTCTCGATTTGAGATTTATGAAAACAAGACTCATTAGCACTTTTTGGTTGCTAATCCAAACTTTGCAGATGGCTGCCATGAGACATGTAAACCAGTTGATATCCATAGCGTTTGTATTTCTTGCTTCGTACTGCAACGCCGTCAAAAACGAAACATGTCACTGTGATAGCAATGAGCGCCAATTCCAGGGCTACACATACAAAGTAAGTTTGCTGTTAATTTCATGCATATCTTAATGTCAGAGTAACACGAACTTGATGATACCGGTTAGATTCCTTTTTTATAAAAATGGTGATAGTGATAAAATGATCCTCACAATGCTGTTAGGTGGGCATGTTAAGACGCATCTTTTTCCATATCTTCTTTAGGTACTACTAGATTGTGTTGTAAGCTGCAAATCGGCTTTAAATACTTAGATTCTCGATCAAAGGAAATGAGGCAAAACTTCGCGTTTCACACGTGCAGGCTAGGTATCGTTTTGTGTTAAATAAATATATTGTTATCTCTGGTGGTAATTACTAACGAAGAAGTGGGTTTCTATGGCACCGATTTTGGGTGCGTAAATGCGTTAGAGGGGGGCGGGGGCGGTAAAGCAAGCTTGATTCATGAAGTCAGTGATTCGGAGACGTGGCAAACTTCTTTCCAAGTCAGGTGTTTTCAGATCAACCTGAAAATACCAGCAATTTTCGAGTCCAGCGACCTTCTACTCTACTGCTTTTCACCTGAAGGAATGAGAGAGAAATGGCCGAGAGAAAAAAGGAAATGTTTACGAAATGGTCGCTCTCCCCTGTGAAAGCGATAATTTCGTGTTAATGAAATACTGTGAATCAGAATTCAAACCGCCTTAACTCTCCTTTCTGCTGCTTCAAGCAAGTAGTGGTGCGCAACAGCTACACCAAGCTGCCAAGTCGAGAGTATGCAAAGTTCATCGCTCTTGGTTACCGCGTTTCAAGTGTTTTCTCTTTGAGCGCTTCATAAAGATTTTCGTTTTGTTCTGCAAAATCACTAAAGTGGACTTCGTTTTCGAAGTCTTCTGGAGCCACCTCGTGCCAATCTGTGTCAAATTTTTCCTCTATTCGAAATTTCAACTGATCTGTCACAGTTACTATATTTGACGCGTATAGGATGCGGAGGATTTTTTTCTGAAATCGAACAGCACAGACACGCCGAAAGACCTTGCGACCAAAAAACTATTTACAGTGCTGCATATTGTCTGAAAGTATCGTGAGTCTCGTTTTACGAGACACAACGAGCCGGTTGAGCGGCACGCTTGAAAAACTGAAAAAGGTGCGTCTTATACGCAGTGAAATTAGGGAAGTGATATTACCACTCCTACTATTATATGCCTATCGTTACTTATGCAAGTGAATAGAATAAAAATAAAAGAATAGTGAAATAGTCGCATGTGTAAATCATACAGTAATATGATAATGCCACAATGACGGTGCGTTACATTCAAAAGGAAAATTTGTTATTTTTTATGTAAAAAACAAATATGCGCCGGAATGCAAGTAAAGAACTGCAAAACAGCTGAATTGTATTGCTTCCTGTCGAATAAATTAACAACATTTTTTAAACACATGTAAGAAGAAGGTCAGCTTTCGAAAGTATCAGGATTTCCGGTGTTTCCACAAGTTTCATTTGTTTCTAATTTTAACCGCAGTAAGTCATAAACGTTTCATTTCTAATTAGATTGCAAAGACCATTCGATAGAGCAGAGCAAGCTTTACAAGATGGCAATCTTAATTTAGGGTCAGCTATGAGTATCTTGAGTTTCAAAGCAAAAACCAAAAAGCATATTGAAAAAATTGAGAAAAATCGTCACTCGGCCCAAAACTCCTACAGAAACTTCTAACTGCTCATGTAAATACTATGCAACTAAAATATCTATATGCGTTATTGACGTATTTCTTCCTCAGTCAGAAATCAAAAAAACAAAGAATTTTATGCTTTTGCCAAAGTGGTGCTATGCTGTTCTTACATAAGTACTTGTATACTACTAGTCTGTCGGACTACAAACACAAATTCCCCACAACCTTTAAGTTTCGATTTTAGCGCAATTCACTTGAGCAAGGAATGCTGTATTCAATATTTTTCAAAAATTAGGGCTTGTGAAGAGCTGGAAGTTTGTATTTGTAGGGATAGCATAGCACTATTTTGACAAAAGCATGGAAATTTTTGTTCTTATGATTTTTGACCGAGAAAAAAATTTGGCAATGGCATATATAAAGGTCTTAGGTAAACAGTATTTACGTAAGCAATTAGAACAATTGTCGGATTTCTTTAAAAATATTTACGATTTTTCTTCAATTTTTGAAGCAGTTATATTATTTTCAGTTTTTGGCTTGAAATTCAAGACAAAAATAACTGACAAGGGAGGTCGGATCAGTCGAAGTGGCCTTTCCAAATGACTCATATACTATTCTGAAAAGCGTTAAACGCTGATTCCGAATCTGTGTTCGCCATCTGTCGAGCACCTCTGGACGCCGAGCTATGAGCGTTCTTTTTTGGGTTGAAAAGTTGAATGCGTAATTAGAGCAAAATTCATCAGAATTGCTCAAATGGTCCAATGCTGCTTATCAGAGCACTAGAAAAGGAAAAAAGGATACCTTCTGTCCAAAACACTCATACTACATGTTGCTCTATTTAGGCGCTGAAAAGTCCGCATTAGTTCATTTTACTTGAATTCTGCGTTCAATTTTCGCTCCAAAAAACATTTATAACTCAGCAAGCAGAGGCGCTCGGTAGCCAATGAAATCAGATTCGGAATCAGCGTTTAACGCTCTTCAAAATGGTATATGACTTATTCGAAAAGGCCACTTCGACTGAACGGACTTCCCTTGTGAGATTTTGGCGCAACTAGCACAAGTAATTTGTTTATCCAAACACAAGAATACATTCAGAATCTGTAGTTTTTGCCTACTTATTTGTACTATGAGCCGCCAGTGGCAATTCGCCAGAACATGGCAAAGTTCATATAATAATTTTGAACATAGTGACGCAGCAGCAATTGTGATCAAGCTACATGTAAAAACTCAAAAGTTTACGAGAAAATTGAGAATATTCAAATCAATTGCTAATCTAAAAAGATAAAGTAGATTACCTTGATTGTTAATTTGATTCTACTTTGCTTTGTCGCAGAGGGTTAACTGTTTTTGGAACTTGATGCACCAACAAATTGGACTAAAAAGACATAGATCTTGCCGGACAAATCGTTTAATAGAAAAGGTTTCCTATTATAGTCGTCACTAATACTTGTTTCATGTTATTTTCGTCTTAGAAAGAAGAGGCTAAACACTACACAGATAAAGATTACAACATAGAATAAACTAAAACACAAAAGCAACCGTAAGCATTAAGAGCTCAAGGTTATCTCCAATGGTGGTGAATTAAAATACATAACTAGACCATTGAACAAATTCCAGCAGAAGTTTTTGCTAATTGAAGTTACATAAGGAGGAACATAGCCTTCCTCTCAACTACCGAGCACATTGGACTTAATGATTGTTGTCGGTCATGTTATTTCCGTGTTATTTGGTTTCAAAGAATAATTTAGAGATCTTGCAATGCGACGTTTGATGAGGCCGAAGCCAAATGTCGTCTTATGGGTGGTCACCTTGCTTCAATTCACAGCGAAGAAGAGAATAGTGCCGTTTACAGTAAGTGAAAATTTTGATAAACCTTCAATTAGTGTACGTATTTATTTCTTATACTTTGAGCGATTATGCACATAATCCCCACAAATTCAGGAATGTCAGAGAGTTATCAAAATTACACGACTTACTCCGATTTCACTTGGATAGGCTTAAAGCGCAGTGGTACAACATGGAAATGGACCGATGGAACACCCTTGGACTTCACAAAATGGTCTGCCAAAGAACCAAATAATTACATGAACTTGGATGAAAACTGTGTCGAGGTGAGGCACTTTTTCTCGATACCTACAAAATGTCAGAATTTTGTAATTATGTGATATCAAAGATGTACACCGGTCAGTTGTCCACATGGCAACCCAATACAGGTGACTACGAGTGGAACGATGTCAACTGCGAGAAAAAAATGCTATTCTTTGTTTGTAAGTACAAGAAGGGCAACAAAGATAAGAAAATGTAGCTTTTGCTTTGCTGAACTTTGCTGCACCAGTAAGGGCAAAATGTCCATGTGTTTACGCTGTTCTATGTCGAGTCTCCAGGCACCATAAATGATCGTGAAGACCATGTATTTGCTTTTCAAAAACTTTAATACTACTGTGAAATGTATCTGTTAGGGTAATTACAATGCGCCTTCACATGAATATCAGTGTTTTGATCCTATAAGAAATTGAAACATGTTAATGACCATCAACCAATGGGAATTTTTATCTCTGCTACATTCGTCAATTGTACGCTCCTTTCAAATAAAATAATTTTTTTCCATTAGCGGACATTGAAAGCAAAGAGGGGACTTCCCACTTTTTTCGCAAGGGGAAAGAAAAAATTGCGATGATTGAGAAACATGACTCATTGATTCAGCCGCAAGAATTTATGCAAATACGGTGGCAATTCTGTGCCACTGTTCTGGGCCTGAATAACCTAAATGCTCACTTCTGGTGAAGAACAGTATCACACACTAAAAAATTGCCAACAAGTAAACACCGCCAAGGAAACTATCAAGCACACTGAAGAGTAGACCTAGCGGCAGAAGTAGTCATTGAACAGTAACCTTTGCCTTGGAGCGCGCGACGGAAGGCGCGAATGCAAGGACTATATATTATAGTGGCCAAATAAAGCATTAATCTTTGAATTTTAAATACGCAGCTAAACTAACCAAGACGCATATCTACATCGGGCCTGTTGTCATAGTTTGAGAATCGTGCTGCGTCGGTGTGTCGTAGGTTATTTACTCAATTTACAGAGTAGAAACATTTGTTTTCCTTATATACAATTAGCTGGCAGACTCGGCTCCGCCCGGCCCTGTCAACAATATTTTCGTAATCAGCATGCTCGGTTACCCTTTAATAAGACGGGAACGCTGGGTGCAAAATGAGAAGGCGTAATTAAAGCTAGGGAATGATCGGAGAGCAAGCTTGCGAAGAGACGTAGACTGCGGTGCAGGCGCGAGCGGTCGCCTTCCAGCCGCCAATTCCTTTGAATCAAAGGGGTACCCGCCCCTCCCCCAACTTTCAGCCTGATAAGCGGATTTGTAAAAAATGGACAAAATCATGGACCGACCAATAACGAAAGGTAGCGTACGACACCTTTCCCCCCCCCGAAGTGTATGTGCGCCAAGTTTGGTCCGGCGGTTCAGATATATAAATTCTATTCGGAACATACGTACACACAGACATACAGACAGACAAACAAGCAGACATGCAGCTTTGTTTGTAAAAATTGTGCCCAGAAGTCTTTCGGATAATCGGGCTGACTCTTGCGAACCTAAGTTGAATTATTTGATGCATATGTTTGGAGCACAGTAGCTAGTATTTAAAGCACAATTAGATTATCATAAACTTTCGTTGCATAATCTGTCGACATTACCAGCTTGAATTAAATGTTTAGATACTGTTAAATAGTGGGGTTTGATGAGTTAACCGAGGTACGCATATCTGCCCCATTCGCCTTAAACTCACCCTTTTAAATCAGATTGGTCAACAGAAATCGAGAGTGAGGTGTAACAAGTAGTCTTATGTAGTGCCCATTGTCTTGAAGGCTCAGTTGTTGCTCTTTATCTAAAGTGGTTATCGATTTGATTTAATCGTAAGACTGTACCGTCTGCACACCAGAGAGGTTCTCATGTGAACCAGCGTGCGTACATGGTGTGACGCTGCCTTTCGCTCTTTTTGACACGTTTCTCCTGAGATTTCAACGAAAGTGCCCGAGGTTAACACGTTCAAAAGTGCGAAAGGCAGCGAGATGACGTGGTACCTGTGGGAACCTCTCTGGGGCGCAGACGATACATCGTGCCTGAAGCGATTCGTATTTATCAATGTTCCTTAAGGTAAATTCTATCTTTGTCAGCGGGCTGAAATTGACGTTAATTCCGAGAACGCAATGTCGTCTCAGTGGTGCATAGAATTTCTTATTTCCAGTGGAACTCTTGCCAGGACAACTACTGTTATTTGTGTCCTACGGGCCCGAGCTGACACGTTTTGACACAAAGACGATTTGAAGTAACCTCACATGTTTTGAGACGATAAAACGAGAAGATCTCGGCACGTAGTAAACCCCGGAATACGTGGTGATGTAAAGAAAGCGAGGTCACGACGTGTCCGACTGAAGGACTGTACTGCTGCTCACGACCATGCCTCTGTCGCCACGAAACTTTTGCGCCTGCGCGCGGTTGAACCCCTCTCTGGTCGTCGATGGCGTGCACTGTCATTGCGCTAATAACTCTTTGATGTCCAAAGTCAAAGCTGAAGCTAGCGCAAGAGACGAGATGTACAGAAGAGTCGCCTGCGGCGCCTTCAAAGTAAATCAATAGAAAGAGTTCCGAAATGTTTAGCTATGTATGTTGTGAAGGTTTGCACTGCTTCCGCCATATCTACATTAAAAAGGGTACTAATGTCTCAATTTATTCAGTACGAATAGCGCAGCGCCAGTGTCGCTCGCTGAAGTGCTTTGAAGGGAGAGGGAGGGGCGTACGAGTTTCACTATGCCGGCGTTTTGCAAGCGGCTAATTAGATGAGTTTTTACGTGGGTGAAAAATTATTAACATAAGTTGCTTCGTGCTAGAAAACATCTGACCACTCAAAGCATACAATACCGAGCATAAAGAAAATTGTACAGCATGAGCTGGTGTTCTGTGAGCTTTAGTGAGCGATGAAAAACGGACAAAACTTTCGGGACAACCGAATATTATGAGCATGGCATGGCACACTTGCAATGAATAGCTTTCATTTGTATTACCGTGATATTTTCACGAGGAACTTGTTGAGATACAGGTTTCAAAGTTTCGCAGTCAATGATTTTGATTATGTTGTCTATATAAGCAATTATTTCGAAGCTCAAAGGGGTTTTATCTAACAATAAGAATTTGATTGTTAATAGCTGTATCTAAATTCAAATTCGCAATGTAATTTCAAAACGATGGAACCTACCTTTCTGGAAGTTTTTTTTGTACAGTCATCAAAAGAATGTCCTTAACAAAAGCTTCCAAGTTGTGAAAATAATCTTTTTTTATAGTCACCCCTGCCTTGTTTTTTGATGGGTTTGCATTGATAAGGGTTTTTCAAGTACTTTGCGTATTTTCGCGGTGCGCAAAATTTCGCTAAATGCTTTTTGCCTCGTTTTGAGTTCTTTCTAATTCACACAGGCTCGGTTATTCCAAAAGTCGTGCAGTTTTGGAGGAAATGACCACCATTGAAAGTGTGCAGAGACAGTTTTCTAATGGGTCATTTTCGGGTTTAGGGAATATTCTTCGCTCAAGGCTATGCCGTTTAAAGCACATGCGAACGTGGTGAGTAAATGAAGAGTTGAGATGATACAATTTTTCTGCTCAACTAAAAACGTTATTCATCTATTTGCATCCAACAGTTGACTCTTTCTTTCTGCTAAAGTGCGAAACAACGTGCTATTGAAAGATGTGAAAGCATCTTTTGAAATTCGAAATGATCAGTTAAGGAAATGGGATTGAGGGCTACAGTTGCATTGAACGCCAGAACTTGGTAACGTCTACTTTCTGAAGATCGGAAACAAAGAAGTTTGATCAAGAAATTTTGACGTTACGATTACAACATAGCTACTGTGCTCAAGATGCCGTGAAAGAAAATAACTCCTGCTTATGACCACATCCAGCATAGCAAAATCAAGATCTGGGCGTTTGTTAACCTGCATGAAGTTTCCAAGAGTATAGACAGAAATTTTGTGATGAGTTCGCTCAATCCCTATAACTCTCACTAATTTAAACCAAATTTCGCAAAATTGCCAAAGTGACATAAGCCATGACACTACATTATCCATGCAAAAGATGCTTCTGAAAGTTCATAGATCTACAAAGCAGTGGCGTACCCAGGGTTTCGTCTTGGGGGGGGGGACGACAACGATTGCTCTGCTTTACGACTATTTGTTGGAGCACCTTTTGTGCGATAAATGAAGTTAGGATGAATATCTTGCAGAGCTAACTTCAACTTAGATCGATCCAACGGGCGCCTTATCACTGAAGGAACAGTAAAAAATTCCAGACTCTAGCGCCATTGTAAAAGCTGCCATCTGAGGGGAAAACTTGGAAAGTTGTGCAACAGGGTTTTTTAGAAAGTTGATTCCACTAAATGACTTGTTAGGGTTTCTTGAAGCTTCTCCATTAAGGTAATCATTTTTAAGCTTCGAAAGTTCACATTGAACTAGATTTATAGGAAAACAAAAATATCAACAAATTTCAAGAACACTCATAAACCAATGTTTAGTTATACCTGATACGACCTATATAGAGCATTACCGTAATTTCATGTTCAGAACGGCAACTCCATCTAGCATAAAATAAAACTTTTTTGCTTGTATCGTTTCTTTTGAGACAAAATATGGGTTAAAGGCAGAAAATCCTCATCAATGTACTTACCGTATCAATGATCAATAGTGCATAAATTTTCTGAAAAACCCTTTAAATTCGCTTTGGTTATTGTTTGCGTATGTGCACTAGCTTCAGGTTGTAATCACCGCCTTTCATTCATTTCAGTTACAATTTCTAAGCGAAAAATGTCTTAACTGCTGGAGAGTAACAAAAGGATGAATGAGTTTGTATCTTTGCTAATTCCAGCCATGTGAAGTTCGTTTCATCACACTTAAATTGTTCGGAAATTGTTTACCATTCATGCAGCCTATTGGATTCACTAATATATGCTAACAATAAGCATACTTTGTTACATCATCTTCATGAATTCCGCCATAGCAAATCGCAATGGCGCTGAACACTACAGAATACTTCTCCAGCAGTAAAGAGCTTTAAAATTGCGATTCAAACATTGCGAAGCATGTAAGCGATCAACGCCTCAAGATATCGAAATTCTGTAATTTTTGGCGCTCATGCGTAGAATAGAAGAATATCGTTTGCTGTAAATGTGCACAACAAAAAATCTATGAGAATGAGAAGAGACAATTGCTTCGATTGTCCAAATTTCCAAGTATTGTCCTGGGCTCAGGTAGGCCTAGTACGAAACTAAATACCTTCGAAAATAATTTTAAATGTGAAAAGCCTGATTGCATCAAGACAGAATTTTTGAGAGCCAAATATTTCTTCAAAGTTAGCTAATCACTCTTCATTTCTGTTACACATTTCGATAAAATTTAATCAAAGCTCTTCGATTTTTATTCTACGG